AAGTCAAAGATGAGAAAAACAACTAGAATATATATTTAGAGGGTGTAGGTGTGGGTGTGGAAGAGTAAGGTGGCTCTTAACCTACACCCACACTTATACCCACACCCTATATTTGATAAACATGCATTTTAGTAGCAAATTAACACAATGTAAAGTTAATATTCATCTTCCCAGAAGGACCGAAACTATGATTTTCTAAAATAAATGATATAACCCAGACATATTTCAGTTAGAATAGATACAATGACAACAAACGTTAGCGTTATGTATCCGAAAGACGTAGTAGGTTCTTGTCCTAATCTAACTGATTCCTAACGTGCCTTACCTATAATACGAGAAAGGTGTGAATAATCTTTTACAATTATGTCTCCGATGGGTAAAATTTCTATGATTCTTTTGCGTGACTTGGAAATATTCTCTGTTTTCATGAAACTTCAATATGCTGAATTCATCATAAATTCCAACTCAATCCAAAGTATGTTTAGGACGCATCTCATTTCATTAGAATAATATATGAATAATAAGATGAAAAATATTAAAAAAAAACGCTTTTTTTCTATCAAAACGTTCACTATATTTAGGGAATGAAGAGCCATAAGCACGAATATTTGTAGACTTGTTAAATAACTGAAATTTCATCGAGAAAAAATAGAGAAAATTCTCTAAAAAAAGACTTAACATGAGAATCGCTGAAAAAACTGCTCAGGTGTCTTGTGAGACGGACAACGAACCGCATGCCAAAATATAATTCGATAGAATAAACAAAAGTTCTATTTATACATAAAAAAAATAAAGCACCTGCAGCGCTCATATGGATAATAGATAAGAAAGAAAGCAACAAGAAGATGATCACAAAATTGCAACCAGAACAAGTCAACTAATGCTCTAGTCTATTATGCCAAAACAAAGTTACGTCCAAGAATTCTTGCGAAATTAAAATGCGAAAAATAATGTAACTGGTGTTGCTTATCACACTGAACTTGTTTTATCCTATTTATTGTGGGATACTTTTCTTTACCATTGTTTTTACTTAATCCTTCAGGAATGCAACAAGGAAGGAATTAGTCCATATGTATTATAACGAGACACTATTGATATTTGGTCTGTCACAGTCTATAGGAGACAGGGCAATGAATTCCAATGTCTATCTGTTTACTTTAACATTCATTTTAGATCGTATTTAACAAAATACGGCAGTCAATCTAAATAGAAAAAATGTTTCTAATCACGGTTGATAATCAGCCACTGCCACAATGATCTTCGAAAAATTCTTCGCAAATCTCTTCCGTCACTCTACTAAATTTGCACCGTTAGATTGAATCCATAAGTTTGATCACGGTTCTAACTGTTAGATTTATAGATACTTAAATCAAATGCAAATTCATGCAATTTTACAATCTCCCTAAAAGAAAAGAAACTGTCAATACCACTTCGCCATAAACATTTCTGCTCTATCCTTAAAGAATTATCTATAGAGATATATCAGAGATTTTTATTGTTTTTCTTTACATTTCAAGAAAAAGTGTGAGCCCAAGAAAAGACATTAAACCCAATAGATAAATTAATCAATAATTTGTTCATTAATAACCAAACAAATTTTTCATTTCAATACTAATTAACTTCCATTGAATATTTGCCTTGATCATTATTTTGTTGATTTTGAGATCCAGCATTTATAGAATTACTTCCATCATCAATGTTAGATCCACTGCTATCAGTATCATATATATTGCTATCATCATTATCAAATTGTCGTCTATAACGTTGATTTGTATTACGTACTATACGTCTCAAACGTTGAACAAAGAAATTTTGCTTATTTGAATTATCAAGAATGTTTCCACTTTCTACAAATAATTATTAAAAATAAACGTCTTCTTCCGTATTACATATATTATACAAACCAGCTACATTGCCAACGAAGATTACAATAATTAGACATGCTACGATGAAAACTGAGATGATTGATCGAAATTGCATTGTTATTCTAATAGTTTTCATAAAAACAATATAGTACTCCTTCTTAATAATAATATTTACCTTGAAACAAAATGTTTGGCGTATATGTATGTAAACAGTCAACTATATTATTGCTTGTTCGAATGATAATTGTTCGTTGTATTTGAATATGTGCGACATTGGATTTTACTGCCACATGGACTTAATAAAATATATTCAAGAAAGATACAATACTTCTGTTTATTTTCATATAGTTCGTTTCAAGAGACATCATACTAATATCATTCTATCTGTTTTTTATAATTGATACCATTTGACCAAATGAAGAAAAAATATATTCGAACATATTTTTTTAATAGAACAAAAAAAAAAACAGTCAATCGAAATATCTTTTTTTTTAACAGTAATTTATATTTCAATTTTTTTTTAAAACACAATCAGTTCTAATGATAATGAAATACTGCGATGGTTTGCTTATTATTATTATTTCAATGCTATCTACTGATTTGATGTACTTATTACGTAAAAAAACAAAACAAAAAATCGTGAAAATAAGTTTTACTTGTTAAAGAACAATGTTACAGAATAAATCGATTAGATTCATAATAAATTATTTGAGGGTATAATTCACAATCAAAACAATCAGTGATCAAATATAAGCGTATAGATATTTGAATATTATTGAAACTAATTTAACAAATAGATTTCTTTTTTTTTTATAGTTCGGAATTAATAAACTTTCACATCGAACGAAATAGATAAATATATTCATTTTTTCACCAAATGAATTTATAATAAAAAAAAAAGAAGAGAGATTGAGTGATCATAAAATTTTCAAATGAGGTGTGTGAAATAGAAATAACAATGAACGAAAGACATATTGCACACACAGATCTATAATGAACGATTTACAATGGATCGTGTGAGCCATGATTGAATGTTCGAGGTCGAGCAGTACCTCGATTACCTACGATAAAACGAGCTGATTTTGATTGTTGTTGAGTTTTATTAATATTAAGTGTTGGCTGTGGTGCAGATTCCTTAATTTGAAAAAAATAAAATAAAATCAAAATATTGATTATAACAAAAGTTATTCTTACCGGAGTAAGACGATGATCATTGGATGTTGATAAAGGAGCATCAGTAGCATTTGTTGATTGACGTAATGTTAAAAATTTTGCTGATTGAGCCAATAATGATCGACGAAGACGTTTATTTTCTTCTACTTGACGCGATAATTCAATAGCTAATTCTTGACGTTCACGTTCCGCAATAATCTAAAAAATGAATAATAAAATAAAATTGATTAAAACCAAAAATGATTATCAAACCCGTTCATTGCCTAAATTTGGTTCCAATCCAGTGGTTGCTCTCATAGATCGAAGTAATAAAATACTTTCTGTTTTTAATCGATTCAATTCAGATCGAAGACGATCATTTTCAAGTAATAGTTGCTTGATGTTTATAAATAAAAATTAAAGAAAAAAATTATAATAAAGATATAATAAAATAAATACCTCATTTGCCTTCAAAACATCTTCTATAGATGTATAATTTGGTATTTTAATATCCGCGAATGGTGGTGCATCTTTGCGAAGTACTTGTTCAAGATGTACTCTATAAGATCGAAGAAGATTAGCTTCATCCGAACTATTTGCTGATTGTGATGATGGTGATTGTAATACACCGTTATTAAAACTTTTACTACGATTAACAGGTACTTGAGGTAGTGGACGTGAAAAAGGTCCATCATGCGTAGAAATTATCTGCATTTCATCATTTGATGTTTTTCGAGCGTTAAGTGGCAATGGAATACGAGGAGGGCTTGTAACTCGAGCTGATGTCGGTTGTGAAATTGGTGCTTTCCTACTTGGATAGGAACGATTGAGTTCAGATTCATTTGATGGAGTTAAAAAAGCTTGATTGACTTGACCTTTTAGTGAAGCCATTTCACGTTCAAGAGATTCAAGACGATCATGATCTAAATATTTCATATATATATATATATATAATCATCTACCAAGGAAGAAGAAACAAATAGTTTTATTATAAAATACATACAATGTCGTTGTGGGCCAGTATAGTCATTAAGTAATGACGCTATTTCAGTGCGAGCAGCAATAGGAGAGCCTCCTTCTCCTCCTCCTCCACGAGCAGCTGTTTCATGTACTGGTTCTCGATTTGAACGCACTTGCTGCATGTTTATAATTTCAGCGACGTCAATATGCACTTAAACAAGCATCATTTATTTCTCTTTTTTTTTCATTTTCTTTGACTCGTACCATAGCAATGCCTCTGTACAACATGGAAGTCGCTATCGAACAGTACGACAATAAATTGATGTGAATTTTTCTTTCCAGAGAATTGGAAGGACAATTTGTAAGACGTAATAAACAATGAAGGTTACTTAACTTGTATGAGAATCAATTCTTTGCATTAAATATTTATTATAAAAAAAAGAAATTAGTTTTAAAGCACAACAACAACAAAAAAAATATCATCGATTTATTATTTTTTTTTCCATAAACATATTTTATCATTACGAATAAAAACAAATAGGAAAAAAAATATTTCTTTTTCAAAATTCATAATATCGATAATGTAATCGGCCACTAGCAAAAGCAATTAAACCCATCGACAATATTGTAAGTAAATGTCCAGTTTCAACAAGATTAGCACTATAATTATTGTATGTTGTAACACGTGAACCTTCAGCAAGAGCTGCAACCATAAACAGAGCTGCAAGAAAAAGAATTATTGATGGAATAAAAGCTAATAAACCAGTTAATTGAATGAAATTCATTGCCAAAACAATTAACATTCCAAGACCGAGTAGACAAAGAGCAACAACTAAAAGTCCTGCTGCATGTTGAGTACCAAGACCAAGTACAGTATTACGTTGCATATTAAAACAATTTGATGATCCATTAAGTAAATTACCTGTACATTGAGTAAAAAAATTATAATAGACTGTTTGACCATTTGAATCTTGATTATAATACCATGAATATGTAGCTGTACCAACAATTGATAGAACCAAAGCGATTATACTGAATAGACCAGTTGTTAACACAATCATACGACTCAATGGATCTATTATTAATGATGATGTTCGGCTAGATAATACTTCCATTTGTTAAACTATATTAACATATAAATGAAAACAAAATAAAAATTAATATCTGTTGTATTGATCATAACTTAAGTTAGAAGATTTTCGTTTATTCGAAATTAAATTAAGAATTTTTTTCGAACATGTACAAATCTTATTTATTTATCAACACAAAAAATTTCATTATATTTTGAAAATAATTAATTGAAACATATTCTTAAGTACTTTACAGAAAATAAAAATAACTTTTACTTGCTTTAGCAATTAATACTCTCCTTGGTTCTAAAAGCCGATTGAAGTTTTTGTGAATAAAAAAAAATATATTGTTTTTAAACAAGAAAAAAAAAAGGTATGTTAACGTTTGTAGAGGCAGAATGAGTTATAAAGAAAAAGAAACAGAATGAGGTTTGGCAATGACAGTTAACGAATACGTATTCTTTTTATTCGTTGTTTTTTTTGCTGTTCACTGTTCCTTTTCTCTTTTTTTTGATCAATCGTTCTGATAAGAGAGATTGAATGCCTTAAAAAAACCGTGGTTACAGTTCCAATGATCAATCAATCAAACAATCAGAATTGAACTATGATGAAGCATTTATTATTTTTATGATTTTGTGCTATACAGATTTTGGAGGTTAAATTCAATAGAAAGTATTAGATAAATTGTAAGTAGAAAAAAATTGTTCAGATCAAAACTTGTGTCGATGCTTTATCAATTACCATAAGCGACAGAACCAGGAGATTTGCGTACGCTCGAACTCACTTTATATTCAATAAATACGGACTTAGATAGACTCTATTGTATGTAAAAAAGTTCTATTACTGTTTAGTTTTCATTTTCTTTAGGAGCAACTCGTATCCAATAAGCATAGACTCAAATACTTCTTCTCTCCGTCCATCAATTCGATAGAGTTTAGCAGCACATTACACTGTACAAACGTCGATATTTTGGGTCACGTTCCAAGGCTAATGATAGCATTTCTTTAATCAAAGAGATTTAAAAAAAACATTTTTAAGGAAACATTTAGTCTTCAAGTGGAGGACTTTCAATACAAGCGAAGACGAACTGTACGGAAAATTTTAGTTAGATTAATAAGAATCTGCCAAAACTTTTACTTGTCTTCGGTGACTACGATTATATGTCTATTAAACATTTTCAATATTTGAAATATCTTTTTCTTTCGTTAAAGCAGATTACAAGTTGTTCTTTTGAAAATCGTATTTCGATGAACATAAACGTTCGCATGTTTATACAAAGACACATTTTCTACTCAAGTTGTGAATTTTTTTCTGATCTGTGCCACTGTTATACGTTGCAAAATGTGAATTCAATAAAAGAGACAATAATTGTATTTCATTTATTTGAAGATAGTTACAACAGATTGAGTTGCAGTTTTTGCCAAAATGTAGTCACGCTTTCATAATTTATGTGTGCATAATACCAACACTCTATGTCATGTATTGATTTTGCTAGACTAGAAATGCTGATGTACTTTGGTTTCGTTCAAAATTGATCATGTATGAATATTGTACTTCACATTTTGTTCTTCTTAATAAGAAAACATCTTTAAGAAATATTTTAGCGAACTTTCATTTGTTTGTTGGTTTAATTTTGAGTGAAATTAAAGCACATCATACTAAGTGTTTGTAATCTAACAAAGTAAATTGATGAAATAGAGAGCTGATATTTTGACAAGATCAACAATAAAAGTTTGGTTATATTATTGATTTTAAGCATCACTATATATGATGAATTAAAAAACATTCAAAAAATATTCTTTTTTAAATGAAATTCTTATTCTTCTATTGTATCTATTGAGAGCAAGAAGCACAACAAGAATCAATTTTCAAGTTATTTCAATTTAGATGTCATCTAATATATATACCAAAAAAAAAAAACTTCCTCAGTATGATTGTATATTCTATTTCGTTACAACATCTATTTGCATTTGAACGATTCAATTGAAATGGTAGCAATCAGGGAGTTGTCCATTGTTACGATTACTACTTGAAACATCTTGTCAAATGTTCAAACATTCAATTAATATCATCGACATATACGATTTTCAATTTTCAATAAAAATATCGACAAGTCACTTAGAAGCAAAGTATAAATCAAAATTAGTATTTAGATTGTAATTTGAAGATAAATTTTTCACAACAAAAATTGTCATTTTATATCTTGCAAGAAACATTCTATAGCAGTTTTTTTTTAATCTCAATTCATTCTATAATACTGTTAGAAGTTTTCTATGAAGTGAATTTCCGATGTGCAAATTGAATTTCAGAAAATATTCGTGCAGATGAAAACCAACCACTATTTGCTATCAAAGTTGAGTAACACTATTAAAAGTATTATCAAGTTTAGTGAAGAGACTTAGATAAAAAAATAAACAAGAACCGAATTGATGTTGTAATATAGTATATTGAAAACAATTGAAATAAGATTTATTTTCAAAACTGAGCAAATCAAGTCAAGTCAAACTTTAAAAAAAAATCATAGGAAATGTTAATGACATTTTTTTGTTGATTAAATCCATGAATACACCACAAAGTCCATAATTGTCAAGATATTATTAGTTCTGTGGCAAATATTTAAATTATATTAACGATGAAAAGCCAAAAATAAAATATGTTTCATGTATCATTTTTAAAATATTATTATCAATAGATTAAAAGACTTAACTGAAAAAAAAAAGAAATAAAATAAACTTCTAATTAATCATCACATCACAATAATAGAAAAATAATTCACATTTACTGTATTTTTATAGTTGCTATTGAATTATTCTGTTGTAAATGATGAATTTTTCGAGCAGTAAAATAATGGCGATCACCTGCATTACGTCTAACTTCTGCTAAGTTTTCTTGCATTGATGTATACATATCATATGGTGCTGGATCAGTTTGATTATTCTTACGAAGACTTGGAAAAAAATAAAACGATAATGTAACTACCAAAGCAGATTGATCATAACGATGTATCATTGTAGAACCAACTATACGTTTACATCGAGTTGTCCAACCTAATGGTGTTATACACTTTTCATCAAGAGCACATGTTACCCATGTTTTAAGTATAAGACGTGATAGAAAATTATCTGTCACAGCAAGAAAACCTGCTTCAGCAATATAAATATCATCAAATGTTGAAATTGTTTCTTGAAACCATAATAATGTTCCAAATGAAGTAAAACATGGTAAATAATGCCCTGGTAATTCACGACATGAAAAACCACGTATTAAATTATCAAGAAGTAAACGATCGAAATTTGATGTCTTATAACGAATTGATGTATCACCATAAATAATAGAACCAAAACGGTGTACGGCATCCTAGAAATATGAATATTTATATTTTGTTTTTTTTCTTAGAAATAAATCTTCAACCTGAACTACGATAGGTTTCCAAGCAAAATAACGTAAAGTTCGTATATGAGCAGCAACATGTTCAATTTGAGCAAATGGAAATGGAATGATTATACATCTTTCACAGTTCTCTTTGATCTAGAATAGATTCAAAACTCTATAGATTATATGTTCGTTAGAATAACTATTGTTTTTGTTTTTGATACAAGTCGAAAAGTTTTTTGACAAAATTAAACTTCATGTTTCTTATGTTCTACTATTGTCGGTATGATAGAAAAATAGATATTTGATTTCTCAACATTTCCATCGTCCCGAATCAGTGTTTGGAGGTATTACGGCTAGTTTCTTATAAATAGAAATATGATAATACAAATTCTGATTGAACTATTGATGTATATTTGGTTTTTTTCTTCATTGCTAAAGGTATACCTATATTTTGATGAAGTTTAGCATCATCATCATCATCATCAAATTAATCAAAGAAATTAGGACCGATGACATTTTCCACGCTAAATCATAAATTTTGTACCAAATGAGATCTATTGAACATAAAACACAGAATTTATCAAAATTAAATATAAACTATAATTTTTGATACTTTCAATATGAAATTTCGTAGATTCATATCGTATGTATTTCGTTTAAAAAATGTCCAACACAAATTATATAACTATCACATGTCTTACCATATTTAATTGAGTTGTAATCAATCCAAGATCATAAATAGCAACAGTAGAATTTTTGAAATAATCATTAATTGTACGCATTGATGCTTGTAAAGCATCATAAAATAATGAATGAGCTGCAAGGATAATAACTGGTTTTTGAATTTTATCTTTTGTAGTTTTACTCCAAGTTAAATGTTTATTTTTAATAACATTAGATAAATAATTTGAAACTAGTTTTAAATAAGAAATAAAGTTTTGTTTTATAACAATATGACCATTATCAGATATATTAATATATTGTTGAAATAGACAATAAATATTTTGTAAACGTTCAGTATTATTAGCAAATGGATGTAATGTATTATAAAAATCATTAAAACGAAATATACCTAAATAATCAAATATTGTACGATATTCATTTTCATGAGAAATAAGGATTTGAAAAAGTTTATGCAATCGTTCAATAGTTGGTTGTGGTCGAGTATCATTATTCTTATTATTATTTGATGAAGTAGAATGAAGTAAAGATTCGATTTCATCAGAATTACATTGATTTAAAAGAGTATAATTATTAATCATTATTTCTTTTGAAATAAGTTTAAATTTGCTAAGTATTGATTGATCAAAATGAGTATAACTTGTCAGATGTAAATATGTTAAAAAAATAAAAACAATAGACATAGTCACTAAAGATCGTGATTTAAAACACTTTCGTAAACATAAAATGAACAGAAGACATAGAGTTGGCTTTTGTCCGACACTACTAATCAGACGTTTCATTGTTAATTATCGATTGATATCTATTATTTAGTCACATTTTTTTGTTGTTTGTTCTAATCATAAAAGAAGAATAAATTCAATTCAGACTATAAAAAAAATGAAACTTTGAATGCCTATATAATTCATTCAAACAATGAAGTCCAGAAGAAAATTGAAACATGCAATAAAATTAACAAAATGAAAGAAGCAACTTTAAAATATATTCATTTATGAATATTTTCAATTGTTAGATTTAACTTAATCGATTGGAACGTAACAACAATGAATTTTATATCAATGGGAGACATTAAAAAAAGCCAGGTCTGCATTCACTTATAGTTACAATATTAAATTTCAAAAAAGTTGATGATTCAATGATGACAAGAAAATTTTATTAGATCTATGATTTCAAAAAAAAAATCGATTTAGTCTAGACTTGGATATATAATCTTAATCTTCTAGTAATTATTAATTTGTTATATTCTCGATGATGATAATGATGACAAGCATTCATATAAACTAATTCGAAATTTTCGATATCATGCTGTCTCAACAATAAAAGTTACATCATTCGAAAAAGAATGAAAAGCAAAGCAAAACGTACTAGTTACCTCAGTAGACTACTCCCAAGAATTTGTCAAAATTTTTATTTAATAGATTCTCGAATAGAAATAACAAGGATTTTTCATTCTCTATACGTAACTCGATGAAAATGAAGTTCGTATATACTTCGAAACGACCATATACAATCCGCATTTCTTCTTACACGATTACGTGGTTAAGTATTACGATCATATATAGCTGTGACCATGTACTGACTCCGTATATGAGGATATATACATCTCTATCTGAGTGACTCTTTTTCGTTATTTTGCTTTCATCGTTCTGCTTGATATCATTACGAACGTAGATGTTCGTATTCGATGCACGTAGAACAATGAAAAAAAAGTAACAAAAAAAAACACTCAGAGAATGATGTAGAGAGAGAATGAAAGATCCTTGTTACTGATACCAGAAAATTTGTTTTTAAATATCTTTTCTGAAGACTTGAGAGTACAGCTCTGAAAAATTGCTACATTTTTCTCATATTTTCATCCACTTTCGAATGATGTAAGTTTTATTGAGTCGACACGAGATCAATAATATTGGACCAGTTGATACGCGAAATAATAAATCAATAAAAATATGTTACAAAAACAAATGCATCGAACTGAAATATGATTTATTTTATGGGAACATAATTTTTCGTCAATGAAAAACTATAAAAATGATCACTGAAAATATTGAATGGTCAATAATTAATTATAAAATGGTCTGTTTTATCTATATAAGTATCAGTTAAAATGCAAATTTGATCAGCAGAAGCAAAACGTTTTATTTGTATACAGAGGAATTACGTACAAGAAAACTAAATTTTAATAAATAGAACAACCACAGAGTAAGTAAGAAGAAATCCAAACGAAAATTAAATCGAAACTTCGAGACTGAATGGAAAATAAATAAAAGTTAAATCCAATTATTGTACCACCAGAGCAAGCTTCGTTTTTGCTGGTCTATCTCTTTTTCTTTTCTCATCGATCAGTGTTGTTTTTGCTGCTGATGACGACTTACTATGTTTCAAACGAATAGCTATTTCCCACATTCTAAAAACATAGATTCATCACTGAATCTTACAAATTTCGTATTTGGACACAGAAACGTTTTACGTTTCATAAAATTAAAATCGTTTCGCACTTTTCTTGATAAATGTTTTTTTGGGTTCAAAGAAATTCGATGAGTTTGGTAACTTTCATACTAAACCATTCCTAGATCTCGAGAAATAGTAAAGAGTTTCGTACTTTTCTGATCGAACTATCGTGCCTTCCTGAAATCTAGCAAAAGTTTCATATTTTCTTTGAGGAACTCAGTATGATTTGGTAGAATAAGGCATGATTCTTTATGATTTGTAGAGCATCTTCAATAGTTCGACCTGATACAAAAAGTTGCTTGTTTTTTCTTAAGAACCAATCATATATAATCAATACAGTGAAAGATTCCCTAGAGTGTAAGAGGGTACCGTATTTTTCTTACTAAACTATCTCAGAACTTTAAAGAAAGAAAAAGGTTTCTGATATTTTCAACAAAACCTTGTACACGAACGATTGGTTCCAAAGGTTTTGTCCGAACGATTTTCATTAACAGTGGAAAGTGAAAGCTTTTATATGAAACTATTTATATTAAGCATCCTGTCGAATGGTTTCTTGTAAATCAATTTATCAAGACCATGGACGCCGCACCAGGACTACAAATGGCAATAATTGTGTCCCCTAAAATAATTAGGAAAAGCAATAAAATTTTATTGCTTTCCAAAATAGTTCATGCTTTCTTGATATACTCTATTGAAAAACCATAATTGAAGAAACATACAGTTAATACGACCTTGTAGTAATTAAAAAGATGTCACTCAGTTGTTTAATTGGATGATACTATTGACGACTATACTGCACGAAATACTGGCTTTCAGGAGATAATTCGTAGAAACGTGTTAAGATTAGAACTGTACAGCTCACGCTTATATTCATGAGCGCTAGCTGTACACTCCTATTTGAAATAGCTTCTGCAAGTTACGCATCATTGTGCATATGTTAATTCTCTATAGGAAGCACAATTATTGTGTATAAGACAATTGTATGCAAGATAAATATGTGTACAACCGTTTATGTGTAAATAAATATTTTTTGTCAAAAAAAAAACAAACGTCATTCAACACAGAAAACTAATATAGTAAATAACAAAAATAAACAAATCAAGACTAACAAATCGACAAACAATCGTAATTGAAATGCGTGGGCAGTGGTTTTCGATTTTCGTATATTATCATGCGCAGAATCTTTTGAAGCGCGTAAAATCATAGACGTTGTACATTGAGTAAACTCCCTCCCGTAATAGAAGCCACTGCCATATTAGAAGTCCCCTCCAGAGGGGACAACATGAAAGGTGTATCAGAAGCCTCCCTTGATTTTAAAAACTTTTTGAAAACTTTTGTTGATATTTTCATCAAAAAACTAGGGTGTGGCTGTGAGCATTGGTCTTTTCTGCATCCACATCCACCCACACGTACATCCACACCTACACCCGCACTCAAACTCAAGCAGTGAGTATTGCAATAAAATCTAGAAACTGAAGGTTTAATGTGCTTGAAAAGAAGAAAAAATATATTCTTCACAAGCGGAGTCTATAATTACATTACAATCATTTTGCAATTTTCTCTAATTTTTTCTTCAAATAAAAAGAGAAGAAAGAGAGAGACAAGGTTACCAGTAAGTATTTACATAGTCTCACATACACATGTTAGAAGTAAATCTATGTCATTCGTTGTTGAAATGAAAGAAACTTTTTTACATGTATAGGTAAGGGGAGCCTATAATTATGTTAAACTCTGTACGTTTAAGAAACATAACTCTTCGTTCAACACTTAATCTGTAAATCAATAGTCGATGAAGTACTCGTTGTGACTTTGGGTAATGAAGTTGTAGTTACAGCTGTTCTCGTTGTGTTCATTGGTGTCGGTGTGTAGATTTTTAGCTATGGATGGGGACAAAGAGGTATTAACACTCGCACCAGCACTGCACATCGACATCCCACACTCACCCACACCCTTATTCATCTACACTGAGAAAGAAGGTCACATTACCGAGCCTAAGAGGGTTTCGTACGATATAAGAAACATTTAAAGGTTTCGTACCAAACCCTGCCGAACCTTTAAAAAAGACTTCTTGATCGATGACAATCATTTCGAAGGTATGAAAGGTTTTTATGAAACCCTTTCGAGGGTTTCGAATTCATATCAAACATGGTTCAGAATTATGCCTTTTTTTTCAGTGTAAGGTACAAGATAAATCTTAAGAATGACCACTAAAAATTCTTCGTTCAAACGTTCGTTATCCTAATATCATATCATATGATATTCGTTTTTCTAACAAGAGTGAATTTCGCATGAAAACCACGAATCTTCAAAGCTTCGCTTTAAACAGGACAAATCGCTAACAATGGTGTCACGGGTGATTACTAAATAGAATCATATGAGTCAACTGTCAGTGAAGTTGATTAAGCCAAATGGAAGAAGCTATTATTATTTGCCTCAGAAGATCAGAGCACAAGACGCCATTGAATCAATGAACGTGTGTGGTAAACTAAAAGAATTGTATAGATTTGAAAATGGGACAAACTATTTTTGCTGTATCGGACTGCATAGCATGTCAGTCGAGCATTCGTAGAGCACTCTCATCTAACGATTAGCCATTCATGCGATGAATGTGCCCAAAAAATTAAAGGAATACCTCTGGTGACAAGATAGCAGTTTTCACTCAAAAAAAGCTTTCAGCTGCCAAAGAAATTGTCTATATAAATGAATGAGTGTTTCCACCTAATGCATACTCTGAAAAACCAAGGTACCATACGGGAGCAAAAATGATATCGTGCTCGCTATGAAACTTGTAAAAAGTTTTGAGCACGGGTATGAAACTTAAAAAAGGTCTCGATTTTTGCAACGAAATCGAAATCTTTTTGACGTTTCGTAGTAAACCTACGAAAGTTTTGAAAAAGCTTCCTGGACTTTGGACAATTATTTTGAAACAATCTTGGGTTTTTATGTTACCTTGTTGAAGGTTTGGATTTCGTTACAAAGATGTCTCCGTATGGTACGTTATTGTTTGTCAAAGTATACTCTACTAAAAACTCTGACAGGACAAAAAGATCCATTATACAAACTCGCTCGATGAATGAGATAGTCATTGAGCTGGATGACGTTAGATGAAAATGGTAAGTACGCAGGCACCGAA